TGGAATCACTGTGATGTTGATTGCATTGTCAAGAATGAACTAAACTTATGCCGGAAAGAATTAAAGAAGGTAGTTCAAGACTTGTCGAATTAACTAAATTTATGTATGTATGTATGTATGTGTGTGTATGCATGTGTGTATGTATGTGTGTGTATGCATGTGTGTATGTATGTATGTATGTATGTGTGTGTATGCATGTGTGTATGTATGTGTGTGTATGCATGTGTGTATGTATGTGTGTGTATGCATGTGTGTATGTATGTATGTATGTATGTGTGTGTATGCATGTGTGTATGTATGTATGTATGTATGTGTGTGTGTGTGTGTATATTTGTTTGTATGTATGTGAGAACTCAGTTAAACCAAATCTTCGAGATGTCCTCAAAGGAAGAATCTCCGTCGACAAATGTTTCGGCCCTGAACAACCTTCTTACATTCTCGGGCGGACCGGGCCACGTTCGTTCATCACGTTCATCACTCGAACGCTTCTCAAAAACTGTTGATTTTTGAGCGGTTTTGATCTGTTATTCATACCAAAATCAGCTTTTAATTTCTATACGAAGTTGTATCACTGTAGCCATGGCTTGCTAATTCAGCAGATACTCCTTATTTAATTCTATTCAGCCACAATCAATACGATGCTTCTTGCCCGACAGTTCCACTTCTTTGAAAAGTGTTTACAACGACACTCCAACTGTTCCTCTTGCACCAACCTCCATAGCGTAGAGCCTGGTTTTGTATCTTTTCTTGTTTAAATCTTGAATAAGCTGTTCATACTTTGCTGTTTTTAAATCGTGGCTACTAAGCATGTTATCTTCTTAGAACACAGTTAGTTTAATAACGATTACTGAATTCGTAGCCTCAGATGACGTCAGGCCTCATGCCTCTTTCTTTGATGTAAGTTGGAAAATTTTGTCTTTCTTCCAAATCAGAGTACATAACTTAATCGTTGGCGTTTTTTAAGATATCTTCTTTAACTCGGTATGTATGTAAGCATGTGTGTTTGTGTGTAAACATGTGTGTATGTGTGTGTATGTGTGTGTGTATGTGTGGATTTTAAGCAAACAATCGCAGAAGCATAAACAATCGATAGCAGTGTAAACATTCATATTTTTAAAACGTAGAATCGTTTTGAAGCAATTTTTTTAGTTGTGGTGTTTTTTTTTTTGTATTTTTGTGTTGTTGTAAGTATTATTAAGTATTAAGTTTTGTATTATTTAGAATTTTTCAGTTTTGATTGTTGTATTTTTAGTTATTTTCTGTAATATTTTTTATTTGTTTATAGTTGTATTTTTAGGTATTTTTCTATTGGTTAGTATCTTTTAACTGTAAACTATTGTATTTTTAGATATCTTTTGTATTAGTTTGTATCTTTAATTTTGTATTTTCATGCATATTCTGCTTTTTTTGGTATTTTTCCAAAACAAATCAACAGAAGTTGAATGCCCTTTTAACTCAAATCTGAGTCAAGTGCGCTTAATGGCTGTTGTATCGAATTATTTGTTTTGAAAACAAAAACCATTCATTTTCGACATTTAAATTTAAAATAAATAAATAAATACTAATGGATTTAAAAACCAAATATACCTATATATATGTAATTTGTACATTTAAGAATTATTAACTCGATCGTACATGCATACATGTATGTATACATCACCATCATTATAATACACTTACGTACACATACATGCAAACAAACTACACACCCGCACACACGAACATACACACACAAACAAACACCCACACATACATACAAATACACATACATATATATACAAACGTTTTTGGCATATGCAGAAAAACGTCTTCCTAATGATAAATTGTTGCTGGTTTATTGTATCGACATTTCTACCTTCTCATTAGTCATAAAATCTTCTTCATAATTATCACTTGCATCTTCGTCACTCATTTCCATTATTTCCAACAAACAAAAAAAACATACAAAAGGAAATTTCATTCAAACTTATGTTTATATCCATGTATGTTTGTATAATATACACACACATACAATCACACAATAAAACCTATACACGTACATAAATACACAAGCAAACACATGTGCATACAAACTTACATATTAAATACAAACAAACAATCATACGCACACATACATACATACATACATACATACATACATCCTTACTGACACCCTACATACTTACACACACACATACACACACGCACACATACATACACAAAAACGTACACACAAACATACACACAAACACAAATTTTTTCCGAGGTTTTCACTCAGTCAACTGCGACAGCCTTATCAATCAGCTTA